GACGTGGTGGGGCTAAACATTTGCCAATAGATAACGACACTGCCTCGTTATCTGTGAGCTGACAGACTGTCAATCAAACTCCCTACGTTTCTATAGTAACTGACTTACCTGCGCCGCCGGTACGTGGTTTACGTACGCCTGTCACGCAGTCCACAGACACAAGACACACAGACGCTGTTTACTCCACCAACGCAACAGTTCTTAGCGGCTTTTTTGACCTATATCTTCCTCGCAGTTCGCACAAAGTTTGTTGCAACGGCGACAAGAATCCAGGAGCAGTTCGCCGCAAAAGAAAGTCAATTTTTGAGGTCGCTGAAAGAAGAAGACAAGGGGAAAAGCAGCGAAGCCAAACTAAGGTGATTCTTGGAGATTCATTCCAGCGATGGCGCGACTGAAGCAGACGAAGGATCTAAAGACTGAACCACTGGTCCACAAATTACTCCTGGACAGGAAACTTCTGCTTATTATGAAAACGTACTTTATTTCCAAGAGCGAGACAAACGTTTTTCAGGACACGAAAGCGATATCCTATGTCTGAAAACGTCATTTTCAAGGCAAAGAAAGAGTCTGCTTTCTGCTGCGTGTTGTAGTTAGTTCATTCGCACTGAATCTCCGCGCACCCTCTCTGCACCCCTTTCCTGCTCCTCTCTCCTCTCTCCTCTCCTCGCTCCCCGATCCGCTCTTCCCCCCGCTCCTCACGTCTTGCCTAACCAACACTGTAGTTAGTTGTTTACAAGTCATGTGCACCGGCTGTAAACAAACCTGTTTCTGGCGTGAGGAGGAGGAGGGAGAAGGCGTTTCTACGTAGGAGCTGTAGGGGAGGGGGGGTGGTTTCACGTATGCGCAACATTTGAAAAAGGACAAACAGTCGCTGGATTTCTCATTCCTTGGTAAATCCTCTATACAACCTTTAAATACCCGCGCGTCTGAAGAGAACGAACTGATTCGAACTAAATATTAACGACACATGTACAGGACCAGACAAATAAACATTTCACCCAAATGAGTGAAGAGTGAGTGAAAACTAAATGCTCTTTACATCAGGATTTGTTATTGTGCAGATAGAAAAATAAAAATAATCCAGGAACAAAACAGACTTGAGTTAAAATGACAAGAAGCAGAGACTGAACATAAACATTCTCTTACAGCGGAGAGTTTGAACAGGTATTGTTGCTAAAACTGCCCTACACACACAAGAACACACACAACACACACAAGAACACACACAACACACACAAGAACACAACACACACAACACACACAACACACACAACACACACAACACACACAACAACACAACACACACAACACACACAAGAACACACACAAGAACACACACAACACACACAAGAACACACACAACACACAAAACACACACAAGAACACACACAAGAACACACACAACACACACAAGAACACACAAGAACACACACAACACACACAAGAACACACACAAAACACACACAAGAACACACACAACACACACAAGAACACACAAGAACACACAAGAACACACACAAGAACACACACAACACACACAAGAACACACACAACACACACAACACACACAACACACACAACACACACACACAACACACACACACACACAAGACACACACACACACAACACACACAAACACACACAACACACACAAGAACACACACAACACACACAAGACACACACACAACACACACAACACACACAACACACACAACACACACAAGACACACAACACACACAAGACACACAACACACACACAACACACACAAGACACACACACACAACACACACAAGAACACAACACACACAACACACACAACACACACAACACACACAAGACACACAACACACACAACACACACAAGAACACACACAAGAACACACACAACACACACAAGAACACACACAACACACACAACACACACACACAAGAACACACAAGAACACACACAACACACACAAGACACACACAAGAACACACACAAGAACACACACACAACACACACAAGAACACACACAAACACACACAAGACACACACACAACACACACAAGACACACACACAAACACACACAAGAACACACACAACACACACAAACACACACACACACACACAAGAACACACACACACACACACACACAAGACACACAACACACACAAGAACACAACACACACAACACACACAAGAACACAACACACACAACACACACAAGAACACACACAAGAACACACACAACACACACAAGACACACAACACACACAACACACACAAGAACACACACAACACACACAAGAACACAACACACACAACACACACAAGACACACACACACAAGAACACACACACAAGACACAACACACACAACACACACAAGACACACACAACACACACAAGACACACAACACACACAACACACACACACAACACACACAAGACACACAAGAACACACACAACACACACAAGAACACACACAACACACACAAACACACAACACACACAAAGAACACACAAACACACAAAACACACACAAGAACACACAAAACACACACAACACACACACAACAAAACACACAAGAACACACAACAACACACACACAAAACACACACAAGAACACACACAACACACACAAGACACACACACACACACACAACAACACACACACAAGACACACACAAAACACACACACAACACACACAAGAACACACACAACACACACAAGACACACACACACACACACAAGAACACACACAACACACACAAGAACACACAAAACACACACAACACACAAAACACACACAAGAACACACACAACACACAAAACACACACAAGAACACACACACAACACACACAACACACACACAACACACACAAGAACACACACAACACACAAAACACACACAAGAACACACAAGAACACACACAGCACACACACACAAGAACACACACAACACACAAAACACACACAAGAACACACAACACAAAACAACACACAAGACACACAAACACACACACACACACAACACACACAAGAACACACACAACACACACAAGAACACACAACACACAAACACACACAAGAACACACAAGAACACACACACAACACACACAAAACACACACAAGAACACACACAACACACAAAACACACACAAGAACACACAAGAACACACACAACACACACACAACACACACAAGAACACACACAACACACAAAACACACACAAGAACACACACAACACACACAAGAACACACACAACACACACAAGACACACACAACACACACAAGAACACACAAAACACACACAACACACAACAACACACACAAGAACACACACAACACACACAACAAACACACACAACACACACAAGAACACACACAACACACAAAACACACACAAGAACACACAAAACACACACAACACACACACAACACACACAAGAACACACACAACACACACAAGAACACACACAACACACAAAACACACACAAGAACACACAAAACACACACACACACACACACACAACACACACAAGAACACACAACAACACACACACACACACACACACACACACACACACACAAGAACACACAAAACACACACAAGAACACACACAACACACACAAGACACACACACAACACACAAACACACACACAAGAACACACACACACACACAGACACACACAACACACACAAGAACACACAACACAACACACACAACACACAAACAACACACAAACACACACAAGAACACACACACACACACACAACACACACAAGAACACACACAACACACAAAAACACACACAACACACACACACAACACACACAAGACACACACAACACACACAACACACACACACACAAGAACACACAACAAACACACACACACACACACAACACACACAAGAACACACACAACACACACAACACACACAAGAACACACAAGAACACACACAACACACACAAGAACACACACAACACACACAAGAACACACAAAACACACACAACACACAAAACACACACAAGAACACACAAAACACACACAAGAACACACACAACACACACAACACACACAACACACACACACACAAGAACACAC